TAATCCTTTTTATTTTGTTCATTTTTGAGAAATTTCAAAAACACTGCAAAAAACACTTTTTGAGAAATTTCAAAAACACTTTTAAAAATAATTTTTTTTTTAAATTTTAAAAACCTTGTAAATGGTTCACGTCGTTTTCGATGTTCTCGAATATAATCAATTAATTGCTTTTGAGTCCTACCTTGATACCTGTAAAGAAAAAAAACCCCCATTTATGGATTATTTAATGAATTTGAAAATATGCAATATTCATAAACATACTGAATAAGTATACTAATTAAATAGTTAAATAATGAAATTAGATAATTGAAATTTCTATAACTATTTATGAAAATTTTGAGCAAGAACTATAATTCTGCATAAAACAAAACAACACATATCTTATATTTTGATACTTCATCAATTAACTCATTTATCTAATAAAACCTAGTAATCTGACTGATTTGAGAAAGAAATTCCGAAGCGAACCTGAAAACGAAAAGCGGAATACCTGAAAGCGTACCTGAAAGCGGAACCTTTACTGAAGAAACGACCTTCACGAGTTTTTTTCACTGGTAATACTTCAATACAACGGAAGAATGTATGATGTTCGACGCATTTCTTCCAGAAATTTTTGCACTCATTTCTAGTTTCAAATAAAAATTCAATCGTTTCTTTATAAAATTGCTGCAAAATAAAGAGTAACTTCCTTGAATTGTATAAATTTCAATTTTTTTTCCCCCCCCCCCCTCCATATTATCACTATATTTTAATCTCTGCTCTAACTTGTACCTGATGTTCCGGAATGCATCCAACCGGAAGATTGTTAAAATATGGAATACAATTTTTGATAACTCGTAATAATTGAATGAATAAACTTTTGACTTAGCTTTTTTTTTTTTTTTGTACTACTTAAATTACAAAAAATCAAATTAAAATAATTTGATTTTCCATAAATTTATCCTTTTTTTTTCATATTTCTAAACTGGTTAAAATTTTAATGGATGGATTCAGAATTTAACAAGTAAAACATCGTTTTTTTTTCTTCTTTAAGAGATGATAAAGTCAGAAATTTGGTTTTTTTTTTGAGGAAGATAATCATACATGACTTTCCGGATGTAGCTTTATTAACAATTTACGACGTTTAAATGATAGCTTTCGAATTTTAGCCCAAGAGAATGTTGAAACACATTGAAGCTGATGGAATATTCGAATACCCATGTGAGCAATTGTTAAGCCTATTTCGGTACCTTCCACATCCTAAAAACTGGATTATTTCAGGGCAATTGAATATGTGAAATGCAAATTATCAATAGTTTTATCAAACTTCTGGATTGTTTTTCAGGTCTTATCACAAGTCTGATTATCTACGTGATAAAACACAATGGAAAATACATTCAAGAAGTTTGTTAATATCAGTCATTAAGTCTTATCATTATTTTGATATTTCATTTCAATTAAAATTTTCATTTAGCAAAAAAAAAAAATTAAACATACCTTAGCAGCATGTAACTTCACACCATAGTAGTCACAACGTCGTGCAGTTTCAAGAAGAGTTAAATCACTTTCACCAGGAGTCATACCACTGAAATTTTTATGGTTTTAATTAAAAGTTTAAAATTAACAGTTCAAACACGTATCAGATTACGTATAACACGTGTGTATTGTATCACGCGAGCAAAAGTAAAAACGCCAAACCAATCAATAAACAATGATTTATAATTACAACTATAATTAACTCATATCAATATTAATTATAATTTCTGGATAAATATCATTTAATTTTCTATGATGAATGATAAAATTCAATTCAATTTCTTTCATTAGAAGAGCTGTTGTATGTATTCATTTAAAATTTTGCTCGTAAAATTTTCAATCTTTTTTTTTCGAATTTTATTTCAACAAAAAAAATTAAATTTGCATATTTATTTTTTTAATAAAATTTTAAAATATATCAACATGCATACATTAGTTTTTTGTGATTTTCCATAACTTTTCGTTGAAATTCGATACTTTGATTAGGTATAAAACGTGCACTTGACAAATAACTATCATCAGGATAGTCTTCAGGTGCAAAATCACCACAATCTGATTGGACAATATATGAAGCTAGAAGAGCAGCTGTATTCTCATTACATAATAATTCACCCATTGCAAGATCACGTTTAATTTGCAAAGCAAATAAATACCTGAAAGATGAATGAAATTTAAATCGGAATTTTTCCGGAAAAGTTCTTCCTTTAATTAACAACATATGAATTATCAGGTTGCATCCATAATGATGAAAATAAAAGAAAATAGTACAAATTCAAATCTTCCAAAAGAAAAAAAATAAAAAATAAAAAAAGTGAAAAGAAAAAAAAAGCAAGAATGAAAAAAGAAAAGAAAAAGGAGTAATTATTAATTATAGATTTTGATATGATCATTGGTAAAGTGAATTTGTTAATTTCAATTTATCATTTTATCAGTAAACAAAAATGAAATGAACTTTGATAAGATATTTGATAAAGTCTAAGATATCGAATGAATGATCTGGCTTTTTTTTCTTTTTTAAAGTTAGAAAATTTCCATCAAAATCATTAAAATAACAAAATTGAAGAAAAAAAAACCTACGTATATTCTTCAACAAGATCTGCTGGATTTGGTGTGTAAAATTTGACGATGAAATAGAAACGAGCATCACTATGAGTTGTAGTAATTTGTCGTAAAATAGGCTTATCTTTATCTAACCAGCACTAAAAAAAAATTTGTTCCAAATTAGTAAACATATTTAATCAGTAAATGTTTAGAAAAGATACAAACAAAAATTAGTTAAATAATAGTTAAAATAATTAAATCTAATTAATTAAGTAACTTCATTTTTGAATATTTAATTATTATTATAAGCTAGTAAGTACGGTATGTAATAGTTGAGAAATTAAAATTAAAATTAAAATTAAACAAATCATGAAACATACGCGATTGCCATAGCAGTCGGTAAATTCAAGACTGAAATAATCACATTCCAATAAATTCAAATGACGGCATACTTCATCAAATAAAGCCTGTCCAAGTGCTTTATGCTGTAGTAATTAATTAATTTGAGTATGATTCATTCCTAATTAATTTTATTTTAATTGAATATAGTTCAGATTACAACTAAAATATTATCAGTTTTGACTGATAAATGTTTTGTAAACTGATCATATTTTGCGCTTTGATTGCAAATCCCAACAATTTAATTTTACTAATTTGATTAGCTTAAATTTAAAAACTAGCAAATAAAAAATGATGCTATCTTTATGTTTGTAAAAATTAATTTAAATGAAATACAGTATACTTACTCCTAAATGAAATACACCAACAGAATCGTCAAGCATACGAACTTTGATACACATCAATTTTCCACGACGATTATCCATCCCGGGTGGCGGGGGAGCACCAACTCCTTTTGGTATCATTCCGCTTCCCGGTCCACCCATATTTGAACTGTAATGCTATAGTTATCAAATTGAATGCAAATTTAAATTTTTTAAATTATTCATCGTTAATTGATTGATCTTTGAACTTTAGCATCCTATGACCTGAAATATATCATAATTTAAAAACATAAATCATTGTAGGAATTGAGCAATACTGTGAAATTCAAGTCATAGCAAAGTATAACATTGAGTTAATGAGGTTAAAGGTGAGTGAAGTGGTACACTAATTAATATTCAGCCATATTAAGCATAGGTCATGAGGTCAAAGTAAATTCTTTCTTGGCGATTATATATATATATATATATATACAGACAAAGTAAATAGAATGTTATTAGGTGCATTATTTGT